TTAATGTTTGGGTCGCGCCTCCCCCGCCTGCCACTTCCCCGGGCCACCCGGCAGTGCTGGCTGCTCCCAGCCCCTGTGAAAAGGGCAGCCGTGGCTCACTGGGCTGCCACAGCCATCACAGGGGTTTTCCATCACCAGCCGTTAGTTTGAACAAGAAACAAACTGCAAAATCCCCGACTGCGGCTTGGAAAGCCTCAGCCCCTGCAAGCCAAGGCCCTGCTGATACAGGAGCATACTCATGGGCACCCTGGGCCTGTGGGCAACCTGCAGAACCTCCTGCATTTTGGTGGTCACATCCGTGACCTGCCCATGGCCAACGGCCGAGCCTACGGTCCCTTTCCTTTTTAACGCGTATACTGTCCCAACAGCGAAAAGGGATTTTTAACCTCTCTGCTTCCCAAATCTGGGGCTCGCAGCTGGCTCCAACAGCATCTTGTGTGCCTGTGCTCCTTCCCTCGCTGGCCCAGACCCCCCTCCACGAGGTGGCTGTAAAAGAGCTGCTGGAAAGCTCCCACACAGAAATAAACCATTTACAAGCTCCCGTGGCCTCATACGTAAGGCCAACGCTAATGGCAGAGGGGAAACCTGGCTGCAGAAGAGAAGCCTGTTGCATCTGAAGGCTGGAAGTGGAAATTTTGGTTTAAATGACCCGTGTGAGGCTTAAAACGCAGCTCAGCAGGGATCGTGTCGTGCGAGGTGGCAGGGAAGCCAGGAGTGGGGCGGGTGAGCATGCTGCCCACAACCTCTCGCTCAGCATCCCCCCATCCATGGGGCTGCTCTGGCCCTGGTGAGGCACCCAGGGATTTTGTGGGTGACCTCAACAGACCCAATGCCCTGCATCCATCCAAGGGTTAGCTACCAAAATTGTGACTTCAGCTGGGAATTTGAAGCACTTGCAGCCAGTGCAAGCCACCCTCACCTCCCCGCCTCACTCTGCCGGGGCAGAACTCACAGGATCCTGGGCAAAACTCCTCTCGAGGACAAGTGTTTTGGGGGTGGATGAGAAAAAAGCATTTGTGTGGAGCTCTTGATCTACAGTGACAGCCACCGCACTCTAAAAACTCCATTGGTGTTATTACGTGGGAACAGAGAATTGAAGGTAAATTGGTTTCTCCCCCCAAAACCCAGCCCCACCACACCCAGGGCTGTGCTCTGGTGGTGTCGATGCCATAGTTGTGCTTTCACCCCCTCAGCTCAACCCATCCATGCCCTGGCTCGTGCTGTGCTCGCAGCATGCTCGTGCAGGACCATGGGCTCAGCACCATCATCCCAGGGATATCTGGGGACCCTGCGGAGGAGAAGCAAATGGGCAAACCCAAGTTGTAGATGTCGCTGATGCAGAAGAATGATGGGGTTTGTTATTTATGTATTTATACCCACTGGGTATGTTATTTACTTATTTATATCAAGGGTTTGCTTGAGATCTCAGAGCAAAATGTCAGCCCCGGCAGTTTTGTACTGGCACGCATGGTGGGGATCTTGACTTGGCAGTCGTTTGCACTGCGGAGTGGAGAAGCCAGGGCAGACGAAAGAGTTAAATATGGAAACGAGATCCAGAAATATAGCGGTAACTGGACAAAATTCTTTGGAGACAAATTGTTCTAAACTAGCTCAGGCTGCAATTCTGTTATCTGCTCTGCAAGAAAGGTCAGAGCAGGAATATCTCTTTTTTTCCCCCCTCCTCCTCCTCCTAGGAAGCTAAAAAGAAGAGCATAAAGTCCACTGCTAGTTTCTTCAGGTCTTTGTGTCCTTGAATCATTAGCTCGTAGGTACAATTTAACTGCCACATCACTCATCTTGGCCCTGATTAGACCCAGATGAACACTTTCAATATTAATACTCAGATGATTTAATAAAGCTGCACGAGCAGTAAAAGTAACAATACACTTCCATAAAGGGGTTCCAGATGTTGCCAAGGCAAATGCTAAACATCAAAATACAAACTTCAAAAAAAAAAAAAAAAAGACAAAAAAAAAGCTGGATAAGCAAAACTTGGAACAAACTATAAACTAATTAAATGTGGGTTGAGTTTTCCAAAAATAAATTGAAGCCATAAGGATGTGATGTGAGCCAATAAATAGTACAGTTAGTCGTTATAGTGGAATGACAGTTAGAAAGATGGTTTGAAGTCACCGATAGGTGGGCTCACAGTGAGCTTGGCTTCCTATCAATAGGAAGGCTTGTTCTCTTGTGCATGAGAACGGGATCACGTCTTCTGGTATCTATAACTGGGACCCCAGAGAGGTTACTGAGAGAATACGAGACGATTTTCAAGTAGAGGAATAAAGGAAAAAACTACGCCAGAAGTGCCTGAGTCTCTCCTGCAAGAGCAGCAGGGGTGATACCACCACCCAAGGACAGCAGGATATTTTTTCATGTGTGTTGGGGCAGCCGTCCAGCCTCTCGTTGCCCACAGAGCATCCATGCTTTCTGCTTGGCCACCTGCAAGGCCCATTGAAGCACCACCGCCGTAGCCAATAACCCATCCTCTTCCCCCATAAAAGAGTCATCTAAAACAGCTCTCCAAGAGAATTTCGTACCCGTCCCATCACTGCAGCCACAGAAGCAGTCAGCTCCCAACAGATGAGCTTTTTGCTCGCTTGCCAGATGCTCAGCTGCCAACGGTGACTGCAGCTGTAAGAACCCAGTGGGATAAATAGGGCTCTAATTAGCTCACCTCTACCAATGCAGCCCCAGATAGCAGGTAGGTCATCCACCACCTAACTTCGGCTCCAGCTTTCTGCATGCTGCAGTCGCCAAGGAGGGTGAATCACTAAGGAGCGAGCCTGGGGTGCACAGAGGTGGAGGCACAGTGCATTCGTTACAGGGAAGGAGAAGGCGCTTCGTAGCCAAAGCAATGGCATGTGCATGCAATGCATTTTCGCTGTGGGGCAGAATGAGCAGTTTTAGTTCTCAAATATTCTCTCTGGCGTGCTGTCTTGTGACAACTAAACATCAGATGGGCTTAAGGAAAAGTGCTTAGTGTGAGATGCTAAAGCACTTGTGCCCCTCCAGCTCTCCCCCTCCCAAGGTGGAAGGGGACCTTCCACAATTAAGGGGAAATTTGCCCTTAAATTGCTTTTATTTTTCAAGGACAAAGAAAAATTGATCATTTTTAGGTCATAAATGCTTTACAGTGAGGTCTACCCTCTCTTTTCTGTGTATCTTTAAGCATCCCGGGGTGGAGCTGATGCTAACTCAGCAATTGCAGAGGTCTTCCCAGCTTGACATTACTGCAGCAGCTCTGGGAGCTCTCTGCATCATCTTTTCCACGCAGGTCAGTCAACCTGTAATCCCCAGGCTTTGCACTCAGACAGACTAAGGCCTGGGAGATTAGCTGCCGTGCTGCGTGGCTTTCTTTAACCAGCAGCACGCTTAAACGCAGGATTGGGGAGCACCTGTATCTCAACCCTGCAGCCACGTTGCTCCTTGAAACCCCTGGGTAAGTGCCTTGACGGAAACCCAACCTGTGCTGAGACCTGCTTTCCCATCTGGGTGAGCTCGGGCTCAGCAGCGAGTCCTTCGTCCGCCACCGAGTTCAGGATTAGGCTTTGCCTTGGGCTTTCATCCATGGCTAACGACACGACTACGCAATAACAGAGCCTCTCATAAAATTATTATGAGAACAAACAAATTCCTTCCCTATTATATACCGTACTTGTTTTTAAGATTAAAACAACAGCAGGGCTGATGGGCTCTGCTCTCTCCCTGACCCATGTGAGAACACCAGGACCTTGGTGTTCTCCATTGGCAGGTTACTCCTGAGCTCCCTCCTCCACAAAGCAACCGTCAGTGCCACGGATGGTCTACGACAGGGTAATTCCTATGTCCCTGATTTCCAGGAGATCGTATGCAGGGTCAGGAGTCCCCATTGCAATTGTCCAGCGTGACCTAACAGAGGTCCCAGATTTCCCG